CAGGCGACCACCGCATGGCCGTTGATTTGCGGTCATCAAAGCACCCAACAACAAAAGGTTGTTGGGTAATAAATTAGGGTGCAGAAAAAATTATCCGAACGCATCAATATATCCGTATTCATACCCGGCAGGATAATATCTATAACTAATAGCATATGCTTTCATAGATACAAATATATGTTAAAATATATATATATATATATAGGGAAAAGTGAATCTAAGGTGACACCCTAGGCTCCCACCTAAGGACGCGGCCTAAAATCACATCATTCCCTAATTTTTTTTGCGATCCGCTCCGTTAAACTTGATTTACACGTTCTTAAACCTAAACACACCAATTTTGGGGTGAACCCGTCGTGTTTTGACCCTTCATCCACTCGCCGCAATTTTAACGGTTTCGAATGAATAGAACTTTTTGGACGGCTCAACGAATGGTCAAAACACAACGGGTTCACCCCAAAATTGGTATGTATGAGTTTAAGAAAGTGTAGATCAAGTTCAACGGAGCGGATCGTAAAAAAATATTAGGGAATGATGTGATTTTAGGAATATCCGGACATGTATGGATCATATAGTTTCAATTGTTTTGACAATTAAATTAGTGATTTTGAGTTTAATTTTGATGATCAATACATCAAATCCTACATTTTATGTTGTGACTAACATATTAATGATCTCTCTTGTATCATATGCTTTTTATTTTTTTCAATCTCATCTGCTTTCCACCTATCCATTTTCTACCGGCATGTATTTTTTTCTTATTCTTTCTTATCTATATTTATTTTAAGAAAAAAGTTGAAGTGTTTAATCATATTCAGAGATGGGTCTCTCCATAGCCTTTTCTTAATCGGTGAAAATCTCTACTATAGGATTGCTTGAGAATAAGGGGGGAAATTGACAATTGACGAATGCACACTTCTATCGATGCTTCTCTGACGCATAAGTTAGCCTCTTGGTGAAGGCAACTAGGAAATTGACTAAGATTTTAGAGCAGATTCATTGGATAGATCAGATTGAGATTCTTTTTTTTTGTGCATTGAATCATATAATCCTAGGTATCCACGTGAGTAGAATTATTAGCACACGTGACCAGCGGCGTAGCCAGATCTTGCTTGCCCTGGTCAGCTGTCCAGGGCAAGAAATTCCGCCTCTCCCACGACCTCTCCCTCCTCCTCTCGCTTCCCCTTCTCTCTCGCCACTTCACCTCCCTCTCCCACAGATCCAACCTCCTCTCCATCCTCTTCCAGGACCTCCATCTCAACAATCACCAGCCCTCCTCCCTCTCCCGCGCCTCCCTCCTCTCCCTCACGACATACTCGTAGACCACCTTTATTATTCGCCCAAGGCAAGACACAATCCTGGCTACGCTACTGCACGTGTCCTTATCCCATTGACTGAGATAACAATTGGTTGTTTGATCAGTAAGAAAGGCTACGTGTTCTGACCTTATTAGTCGAGGAAGATTCGTTTTAACGTGTGTGCAGTTGATACGATTATAATATGTGTCAACCAAGGAGATTGGTTAGCAGTTAATATTTATGTTTATTAATATGAATGTTAAAAGATATCGTATTATTTGATTCCATTATTCATTAACTATAAGGTGCTTTAAAATTGGACAGGTGCTAGGCTGAGATGAATATTTGAACTGAGGCGAGTTCGGGTTTCGTGGCTTATCGCTGCATTTAGCGGCGCTTGTAATGTAGATCAGACTTTAGAGATGAGCTCATTGATTACTCTTCTTTGGGTTCGCACGGATGGTGTTGATTAGACAACCAAGTCATTGAGCTGGTGGCGCACATGACAAGGTCTCACAAACTTAGATATAAAGATTGAGTTATATGCATCACAATTGTTAGGATTCACCCCAATAATAACGCCTCGAACGGAGACTTAATCACAAAATAAGTGCACAAAATTCAACACAGAGTACTCACAGATATACGTGGTTCACTCCTTCGGAGCTACTCCACGGTGCAACGACGACGCCAAATTCTTTTATATCCCAAAAGAATTGATCCAAGAGAACACCCTCTCTTGATCAGATACACTCCAAGAACTCTCACAAACTCTCTCTTTGTTTTCTCTTACTCTTCTATAAGAGGAGTTGTTTCTGGGATGAGTTTTCCTTAAGAGTTTAGGGCCCTATTTATAGTGTTTGGGAAACACTATGCATAAATAAAATATTATTAGTGGGACCCGCTATTAATAATATTTTACTGTGGGACCCATCATCTTTTTCATTTTTCTCAAAAAACAGCACCTTTCGGTGCCTAACTTGCCTTTGTCAACAAAAGGCGGCTGACAATCTCCCACTTGAAGATTTGATTGAGTATCATATCTTCACACCATTCTTGATTGCATCATTCGGATGTCTTGTATCTTTGGCGTCTTGCACGACCCTCAACATTTTCAACGGAGACCATATGAGGCTGCACACAGCCTCACCTTCTCGAGTGGAACTGGCTTGGTCAGCATATCGGCGGGATTGTACCTCGTATCAATCTTCACAAGCTTGAACTCGTTCCTGCTTTGCCATCTCCGTATGGCATGGTGCTTCACGTCAACATGCTTGGTCCGAGCATGGAATGCGTCGTTCTCTGACAAGTGAATGGCACTCTGACTGTCGCAGTGGATGAAGTATTTCTCAAAGCTTACTCCAAGCTCGAGAAGAAAAGCCTTCAACCATAGCAACTCCTTTGCTGCCTCTGCTGCAGACACGTACTCGGCTTCGGTTGTCGACAAAGCCACAGTATCCTGTAACTTGGATCTCCAACTTATCGCTCCACCACCCAAGATGAAGATGTAGCCGCTCGTGCTCCTTCTTGAATCTATATCCCCTGCGTAGTCTGCATCACAAAAGCCCTCTAGCTGCAAATCTGTCTCGCCATACTCAAGACAACGGTCAAGCCACTTGACCGCACCCCAGTGTTGCTTCCCTGGATTGCTCATGAAGCGGCTCACAACTCCTACTCCTTGTGCAATATCTGGCCTCGTGCACACCATCGCATACATCAAACTCCCGACGACAGATGCATATGGTATGTTTGCCATGAACTCGTGCTCTTCAGCAGTCTCTGGTGCTTGGGTCTTCGATAGCTTGAAATGACTTGCAAACGGCGAGCCCACCGGTTTAGCTTTCTCCATGCCAAACTTTTCAAGAATCTTCTCAATGTAGGCCTTCTGAGACAACCTCAGCCTCCGTGCTGATCTGTCTCTGATGATCCTCATCCCCAGAATCTGGTTTGCTGGACCCAGATCCTTCATCTCGAAGCACTCGGAGAGACGCCCCTTGAGTTCCTCAATGCGGGCCAAGTCGGGCCCTGCAATCAACATGTCATCAACATAAATCAAGAGTATTACATAGGATTCGTTATATCTTTTGATGAAGCAGCAGTGGTCTGTGTCACATTTGAGAAAACCGTTCTCCTCCATAAAGTTTTCGAACTTCATGTACCACTGTCGCGGAGCTTGCTTCAGGCCATACAAGCTCTTGCGTAGGCGACACACGAGGCCCTCCCTGCCTCGTTCCTCGAAGCCCACTGGTTGATGCATATAGATCTCCTCCTCCAAATCTCCATGAAGGAATGTTGTCTTCACATCCATCTGCTCTAGATGGAGATCTCGAACTGCCACAATGCTCAGCACAGTTCGGATCGTGGTCAACTTGACGACGGGAGCGAAAACGTCAGAATAATCAATCCCTGCTTTTTGTTCATAGCCCTTCACTACAAGCCTCGCCTTGTAGCGTCTCCGTCCATCGGCTTCATCCTTGACCCGATAAATCCACCGATTGTGAAGAGCCTTTCGCCCTCGTGGAAGCTTTACAAGCTCCCAAGTCCTATTCTTCATCAAGGACTTCATTTCTTCCTCCATGGCAGACTCCCACTCACCGCGAGCTTTGCCGGTCTGCTGTACCTCCTCATAGCTCTCTGGCTCATCATTGTCAGTCAGGAGAAGGTAATTCATGGTGGAAAGGTACCTCTCTGGCACCCTTGGATTTCTTGGAGCTTTGCGAATTGCGATCGGCAACTCTGCTGGATCCTGCTGCTGTGCATCCCGCACGTTCTCTTGGTCTCCATCTTCTATGCTGATTGGTATCTCACCGCCGTCCTCACTGTCAGCAATATCTGGGAAAAGAGGGGGAGATAGCTGACTCCCACTCACCTCTTTGGTCTTGTACACCGCATTCTCATGGAATACGACGTCACGACTACGCACCACCTTGCGTGCATCATGATCCCAGAAACGGTACCCATACTCATCTCCTCCATAGCCGATGAAAGAGAGCTTCTTTGACTTTGGATCAAGTTTTGACCGGTCTGCAGGATTGGTCATGACATAGGCGTCACAACCAAATACTCGTAAGTGCTCTAGCTTCAGCTTCTTTCCGATCCAAGCCTCTTCAGGTATCCCATAATTGAGAGCCGCGGATGGCCCGCGGTTGATCAAGTATGCAGCAGTATTGACAGCTTCAGCCCAAAAGCTCTTGGGCAATCCGGAGTGGATCCTCATACTTCTGGCGCGCTCCAAGATAGTGCGATTCATGCGCTCCGCCACTCCGTTGTGCTGAGGTGTGCCTGGGACGGTCTTCAGTCTCCG